GTGAAAGATGAGAGAGGTTCACCTTTAAGCATTTTGCAGTCTGAAAGCCAAGACAAGAAAAGACTGAATACCCCGGTGACACCCCAGTCTAGGCACACAGAAGAGGCAGGACAACGCCAAACCCTCTGATTTCCCACGATTTTCCCATTGTGTTGGAAGTATCTGCAGGGGGTGGGCTGTTACCCCTCAGCTCAACCCTACCTGATCTAACTGGATCACATAAACGAGGCTAAGGCGAGGCTAAGCCCGTTCCCAAGTGCATGCGTGTGCGTAAGCACAGTGAGCGGTAGTTAGAGAACATCAGCAGAGATGTCTATGCTGGCACATGGGCTGGGACCTCCCAAACACATACATGTCACTGAGCGGGTCGTGGTGACCTGCAGATGAAAGTCCCCAGGGTATCCTGTGACCCATCCCACTGAGCCACCTACTCCTGCTGCCCAGCTACCTCCTTTGGGTCCCCACACATCATTTCCTGTGCGGCTTCACCAGATGCAGATACGTTGAGCAGTGCTGCAGACAGCTAGGACCAGAAAGGCGAGCAGTGGGATATGCTGCCTTATGTCCCTGACAGATGGCAAACGTTATCCTTTAACACTGCCGCTAGTCACAGAGCCCAGCCCTGCTGTTTCGACACTGACTCAGCCGTTAAGATACCTCACATCTCCAAGGTGACTCTGTGCTTGAGACTGAGGATGTATCGTGTAAATTTGCTTGCATTCAAAGACACTCACTTTTTCCTGTTGTTTGAGTCCCTAGGAAGTTTCTGTAAGCAGGGTTCGCTAATGCTCTTGCTGCCGTACAATCAAACGGCGTCACCTCTGAGGTTCCAGCGTGCGGCTCCATGGGCTATGGGTTGTGCTAGTGTAAACCAGGAGCTCCCCGTGGGACACGACAGGGTGACACCAGTAAAGAAGAGCTGGGGCAAGCCTGGGTGAGGTTTGAGGAATGCTGTTCCTTAAGGAAGGTCCCACATGCGGTCCATCAGCACAGGCTGTGGCTGGACATTACATTTAATCCTGTCTAATCGCAGGCTGCTGCAGTCTCTCTTCCCACACTTCCTCTCACCCCTGCCTGTCTATGCCCTCAAACAGGGAATCTGTTCAGTGAATTGATCCAGCAGGAAAGGTACCCACTGGAGGTGGGGAAAAAAATGGAAATGATTTCTTGCTTTGGATCAATTAGCTTGACAGACGGGCAGCCATAAATTCCCTAGATACGGGGGAAGACCTGGAGGACTGTCACTTTCAAAGCCAGCCTGAAGCTGCGTTGGATTAAAGGCAGTGTCAAAACCCATCTTTCACCAGATGTGCACTGGGGCTGTGGATGCCTGTATTTTTCCACTGCCGACCTGACCGTAAATGTCTGCATAATGGGGATACATTATAGTACCAGCTGCAGTTCTATTTAGAAGGGAGTAATGAATATTTTGTTCCAACAGGCTTTTGAAATGAATGAGGACCATCTGGTTAAAAGTTTTGCTCTCAGCTACGTCATGATTCCCCAAAGTTATAATCAAGCACCTCTCTGCCCTGATCTTGCCAAGCAGGGTTTATTTTTAGGTCTGGCTGTTGAACAGGCTCACAATTTTCAAAGGCTTCTAGAATCCCACTTTCTTTATTAACAGGCGCCTTGGAAGCGAGGACTCGCTTTTGCCTGGAATCAGTAAAACTTCTTGCCGGTGCTAACAAAGCTGAGGCAGATACTAATGAGGATTTGAGGGCAGAGGCTGCCTCAGACAACACTGATCCTTGAAAACTACAGAGCTGGCTGGAGAAACAATTGTGCTGCTCTTAAAAATAAGCTGTCACTTCTCTCTTATTAGGTATACGTCCCCGGAGAGTCATTTTAAAGCTCCAAAGTGCCGTTTACTCTGGCATTGGATACTCTCTGGTACTTTGGGGAGCAATTTTTATTTTTTGCTGTCAAGCTGTTTGACTGCATTGATTTTTTTGTATTACAGCAGCAACAGGTCACAGACGAGACTAGGATCTTTTTTCCCAGGCGCCTACACACAACACTTGCATAATCTTACCTTGCTCAGAGGGAGCTATGGGGATTTAAACGCAGTGAGAACTTGGCCTGCTGCATGGTATGTTTTAAAGCTGCAAACCAACCCCTAAGCCGTGGGATGGGTACTAACATAACTGGAGCATGTGCTGAAAATCAGCAGGGAACCAGTTCACCCCAATATATACCCAGTCTCTGTATCTATCTGTGTCCGTTTTATTAGGACAGGTGAATTAAGTCTGTGTATACAGATACCAGGAGCAAAAGGTTCCCAGTGAATTCCAGTGTAAGCTCTGAGTGCACTGGAAATAAATCACCCCAGCAGGCAGAAGGGGTCCTTCCAGTAGGAGAAGTGAATAGTGTCTCTATTTTCTGCCCTCTGCAGCATGGACAAGGACAGCCAAGATGTTCACCAGGTGCTGAATGAGCTCAAGAACAAGTTCCAGGAGATGAGGAAGCTGATCAGCTCCATGCCCGGCATTGGTGTGAGCCCAGAACAGCAGCAGCAGCAGCTGCAAAACCTCCGGGAGCAGGTCCGGACCAAAAATGAACTACTGCAGAAGTACAAGAGCCTTTGCATGTTTGAGATCCCCAAGGAGTAGGAAGGGAGAAGCTCTGCTCTCTCGGTCTGAGGTACTTCCTCTCCTGGCTTAACAGGAGAAAAGAAGGTGGCAGAAGTTTACTTTTCTTTGTTTTATGCTTTTTTGTCACATTGCTCTGAAGTTGTGTCTGTGTGGATCACAACCATGTGACACTGAACCAGGAGAACACTGTGTGCTTCACAGGCGATGATTACAGCAGTACATTCACTTTGATCTGCTGTAGGACTGTGTGTATTTATATATGCATCTCTTTTCTGTTTTCTCTTGGTTTTTTTTCCATTCAAGCAAGCAAGAGGCATTATGTTTCCTCCATGCATGTTTCCTCCAGGGGCAAATTGCCTGCTGGTTACCTTCAACAGGAAAAAGGGGATGTTTTCTGCAATTTTTCTGCATTTTTTTTTACTTCTGAACTGACAAACGTAGCCAAACATCAAAGCGAGCAAAAGAGGGAAGCATGAGCTGTTTGGCCCTGCTCCTGGAAAGGGGAGAGCATTGGGCCTCTGGGGGCACTTGGCAATCTGTGTGTGTTGAAAGAGGAACGATTGCTTTCAATTACTTTTGTATTTCTCTCTCTCTCTCTCTCTCTTTTTTTTTTTTTTTTTGAAATAAGTGATGGTTGCATCTGAGATGAGTCAAGTAAAGATTTAGAAACGCCAAAATGCCCCTCTTGTCTCTTCACTGACTGGGTGTGGGGTGAGCAAGGGTAGGACTTTGGCAGCACAGAGGAAGTGCGTAGGCTGGGCCCAGCTCCTGTGTCTTTACATTGCTTTTTTGGAAGCAGGGTGACCTAGGAAAGCTAGGGAGAGACTGCCAGAGGAGTGAATTTCAGCAGGTCCAGCTTAGTAGACGGTACCGCTGAGCACCCTATTTTTAAAACAAACAGAGGGAGGAAAAGCAGAATCAAAGTAAAGGCCATAAATGGCAAGAGCTGTTAGATTTGCCATAAATGACCCAAGCTCCACAGGACAGGTCAGTTCCACATCTTAGCAGCTCCAAGGGCTTTCCACAGATGAAAACAGTGAGCGTTTGACTGTCAATGGCTCATGGAAAACTCTTGACTGTTGCATTTCATTCAGATGGACCCTGGACTCCCTGCCCCTGTCCTCCTCAGCCTTAAGCTGCTACATTGTCAGATGACACCCTGGTGAGTAGCTCTGCATCATGCTGACTAACAAAGACATGGTGGGCCTCTGAATCTCTAGTTTTGAACATGAGTGTGTGCTGCATTTGTTGGATCTCAAATGTTCCTGGGAAGTACAATTCTGTGCGTTACACTGAAAGATTGTGCAGGTCAGCGCAATGCAATTTCCCACTGATGCAGAAAACCACCGTCATGGTTTACGATCATGTTCTTCTTCCAGATCTCTGACGTGTTCTGGAGAGGTACACACGGCTGTGGGGCAAAGTTAAGCCAGCCAGCGATAGACTAGACTCAGGTGGGTTTGTAGAGCTTAGGTTGAAAACTGCAGCAATAGCGGAAGAAGTGAAAAACTAGTTAGTGAAATACAATATCTGTAGAGAACTGGCATCCAAGGACAGGTAAAACTTGTGCCTTCAAAAGAAGAGAAGCAAAGCCTGCTTAGGTAGATTTTGCTCTTCTAAGCCAAGAGGCAAGTAATTCTGCTTGGTGGGGGCTGGAATAGTTGCAACTCACCTATTGCCTAGAGATAACTCTGTCCCCGATGGAGTACGCTACTAGCAATTTCTTTGGGAAGGTGCCAATGAGTAAACTTCTGACTAAGCAAAACAGGACACTAAGATATACAAAACACAATGTACGCTCTTTATTACTAGAATTACCTTTCTGCCAGCCGTTGCCTGTCCCAGTTCAATAAGTTCTTCTGTCAATTGCTTGGAGGGAGGTTTCCTTTTCTTGCCAACTGCCGTTCCTGTGAAGTCAGGGCATATACTGAAGAGCTGGAAGAAAACAAGTGTTTCCAAAGAAATGTGTCTGGCACTTAGTACAAGAACAAGTTAACTCTGTTGAATTGAATTCAAGACTCAAAACCAAACTAAAATGGTTTTATTTGCAATCATCTCGCTTGCTCAGCCCAGTTTTGTGGCTTCAGTAGAATTTTTCTCCATTAGTATGTATTAAATGTAGGTTTATTCTGCCCGTTGAGAGGGGAAGAGGGGCTGAGAAACCCACAAACAAACTGAAACAGAAACAAGAGGCTACTTCTGAGAAGCCGGAGTCAGTGAAAGCTGTTCTTTGAAGAGTTTTTCCCTTTCCCTTTCCCTTCTAGCAGTGGTAACTGTAATTTGTTATACTAGGAGATTAAAAACCATCAGATGCAAAAGTGACCTTTTGAGCAAAGTGCTTCCTTTACTCATATTGGCAAAGTGAAAACAATATCCTGGACTGAGTGCAAATGAATCAGTCTCTGTTGACATCATTAAAGTTTGTTTATTTAGTTGGGAAAAAGCATGAAACACAATAAGCTCTTTATTATTTAATGATGTCATTTTACTCAGTTTCTGCGGTGAATGACATGCCAATGCCCGGCCTGTCACAGAGCTGACAGGATTGTAAATCAGTGTTATTCAGTGAAGTGAGGAAAGAGTTCTGGCTCAGTGATCTGCTTGAGTAACAGTTTGTGTGGCCCCTAATTACCCTGTGTGGCAAGAATTCAGGGACTTTCAGAGGCAGAGACCTTTGTACAGGGCAAAGGAGAAAGTGGTGTAACCAAAGCATTGGGTTGAGAGGCCACGTTTAGCACGTCAGAGCTGGGGTCAGTTCTTGGTTTAACGGGCCTTGGTTTTGCTAAGGAGCTGGGTGAGGAAGCAAAGACAAACCCAGGAGTGTCATTTTAAAAAGACTTTATTATTTTGTAGAAAAAATAAAACATCAAGTTTCACCCACTGTAGAAACACTTGAAGATTTTTTGTTCATGTCCATGACAAACAATACCTACATAAAGTGCCTATTGTTTTCTCATTAAAAAACAAAACCCCTTCCCGCTCCCACCCCCCCCCCCCCCCCCCCCCCCCCCAATCTTGCAAATCAGACAAGACAAATGTAAACAAGAGTCAGTTTTTGGGCCATCAGGGCTGTAACTCTGAAATGTCTTTGCAGCTTAGGAGTGTCTTCTGCACATGTTTTCGCAGATACAGACGAACACACGACAGAGCCAGAGCCTGTGCACAGCTTCTCAAGTTAAAAAAAAAAAAAAGAAAAAAGCCCCAAAAGCCCAAAGCAGGCCCTGGCAGGCCTCTGCACTCCCTCCTGACGGCAGTGCCCTGGCCTGAGGCTGGGAGGTTTGGGGGAGGAAAGAAACAACAAGAAGGTCTGTGCCCTCCCTGCACATCTTTCCGCCTTGCGGGCCAGCAGTCCGCCCCTTTTCTCTCTCCCCGTAGGAGGGAGGTCCCAGCAGCACCCCCCTCCCGCCCTCCAAATCCTCCCCCCCCATCTGCCCCCTCTCCCAAAAACACCTGGGGGAGGGAGCGGATGAAAGCGATCCCTCTGGAGGAGGGAGGCTGGAGAAGAGGTGAATCCCCCCCTCTGCCCGGGTGGGTGCCTGCCCACCCTCCTGTCTCACCAAAGTCACTTAGGAAACGAGCTGCTTTCCCCCCTCCCTTCCTTCCTTCCTTCCCACTCGCTTCGGCGGCGCCTGGCAGGGCTCCTAGCTGATCACGCAGCGGTCCTTCTCCTTGGCGTGCCCGCCGCCGATGGCTTTCTCCCGGATGTACATGAGGTCGCTGTGGACGCTGGGCCGCCGGGCGAAGGGAGCCACGATGCCGTAGGCTTCCTCCGTGCTGCCCCGGCCTCCCTCTTTGAGCAGCTTTTTGCCTTTGAGCGCCTTCTTGTGCAGGATGTCGCAGTACTGGACGGAGACCTTGCGGTGCAGGTCCGGGCTCATCTCGCTGGGCAGCTTGGCCATGGCGAAGAGCGCCTGGAACATCTGGTCCAGGCTGCTGTTCTTCTTGGCTGAGATCTCAAAGTAGGCGCATCTCTTGGGGTCCCCCCCCACCAACTGCTCGATCTCCCGGGGCTCCACCTCCCGGTAAAAGTCCCGATCGCCCTTGTTGCCGCAGATGACCAGGGGCACCTCTATGTTCTCCTTGGTTTTGTTCTTCAGGCACGACTTGGTCTCCAGGATTTGCTGCTTCAGGCGCTGCACCTCCTCAAAGGAGTCCCGGTTGTCCAGGCTGAACACGAGGATAAAGACATCGCCTGGGGACAGAGAGGGGACGTGAGATGGGCACAGGGAAGGGGACACATGCAGGGACCACCATGGGGAGACCCAGAGAGGGAGGAAGCAGGCAGCGCTTCCCAGCCATCCGTCTACCCTGTGCAGCAAGCAAAGATGCCCACCCTGCGCACACACAAAATCCCAACTCCCTCCACCCACAGCCAGGAAAACATCCCCAAACTGGCCAAGAAACCCCGAGATCTGGCAATCATGACCCCCCCACACACACACACTTCGTCCGCACGCTCCCCGTCAGCCAAGTACCTGTGAGGATGGAGAGGCGGCGCATGGCTGGGAAGGGGTGGTTGCCCGACGTGTCCAGGATGTCGAGCTGGTAGACCTCGCCGCGGATGCTGTAGAACTTGCGGTGGAAGTCCTCGATGGTGGGGGTGTATTGCTCCTCGAAGCGCCCCGTGAGGAAGCGTGACACGATGGCCGTCTTGCCCACCTTGGAGGAGCCCAGGATGACCATGCGGTAGCAGTTCTTGGCGGGGATGCTCAGCTCGGCCTCGCTCGGACACATCTTCTTGATCATCGCTGCCAGTTTCATTGAAGCCGGCGGAGGGTGCAGCTGGCGCGGAGAGAGGAGGAGGAGGAGGAGGAGGAGGGGAAGGTGACCCCAAAAAAATAACGAATAAACCAAACGAAATAAAATCCAAAGCCAAACTGCTCTTTAGCAACTCGAACTGTTTTCCTTAGGCAGTGATGACAGAGAAAGACACCTTCATACACCTCCACCAAAACTGTAGCTTATCTCCCTTGGCAGGTTATAACCCTCTGGGAATGGGAGATGGGACCAGGGGGTTGAAAGTAAGTGCATTTGGCAGTTTTAGTTTTCATTTTGTGGTGTGTGGGGGTGGGTGGAGAGGGGAGGTCGGTGTTAAATCTTTTGGTGAGAGAGGAAAGTTATGACTCCATAAATACTTAAACATTACGGATCCAAGTGAAGGTGTGTGAAGTAATTTAAGGTGTCGAAGATAAGCAGGGCTGTCATTGCACATTGCTCTGCCCTCCACAGTCTCTTTTCATTAAAAAGGGCGGTGCTGTGCGAGCCGGCCCGTTCACTGCCCGCATCGGGAACCCCGCGCTGTGCAAGCTGACCCGTTTGCAGCCCGGCTCGGAGCTGGTGCTGTGCAAACCGACCCTTTTACCACTCGGAACCGGAGCTCGGTGCTTTTTATTCGGCCCGTTTGCAGCCCGGTTCGGGGGCCCGGTGCTGTGCAGCCCGGTTCGGGGGTCCCGGGGATCCTGTGCTGGGGTCCCTGCCAGCAGGACCCCTTTGCAGGACGCGGTGCCCGGCCGTGGCGGGCAGTGCGGCTGAGGGGACCCCGGGGCAGGGGGTGCAGGGAGTCACATCCCCGTTCCCGGCGTGGACTTGATCCGTTTCGCACTTGCCGTTTGTGCAAAAGTGGGTGTCCATGCACATACCCCGAGCACGCAGAAAAGACATCTAGCTATCCATGAGAAAAGAGCTACACACAGAAAAGCAGAAAAGACCACAGAAGACACTGTGTACATATACACTTCATGTATATAGGGCAGGGAACAGGAGTAGCGAGAAGTCAGTGCCTCATCGGGCAGCTCCGCCGTTTGCAGCCCAGCTGGCTGGCTGGAGGCTGCAGGGTGCCCCTTGAAGGATGGCTTTTTACTGCTGCTCTTCCCCCGGGAAGCAGCCCGTCGCCGGGGCAAAACTTCCCGAAAGTTAAGAGGGGCTAGAGCCAGCTCCGCAGCGCGCCTCTCCGGGGCAGCGCACTAAAAAAAACCAAAAACAAACCAAAAAAACAAAAAGGCAAAACGGAGAAACGGTGGAAAAGAAAAGGAGGGGAGGGAGCCTCACCCCCCCAATCCTAAGCCTAAACCTAGCCCTAACGCCAACCTGCCTACC